ACACACACACACACACACACTCACACTCACACACACACACATACACACACACACACACACACACACACCACACACACACACATACACACACACACACACACACACACACACACACACACACACACACACACACACACACACACACACACACACACACACACACACACACACACACACACACACACACACACACACACACACACACACACACATGATGAAATTCCTGCATTTTTTTTTTAAGATTGTCAAGATGGATATTGCTAAACCCCAGGTAAATCTGTGGACAAAATCTTTAGCTAGGAGAATTATCCCATACCCACTAATGGAGTTAGATATGGAAATCTTTGTCGCACAGTCATTCCTGTTTTTCAATTTTGATTAGATCGTCCAAGATATTGGGCTTTGACGCTATCACAAATTTATATTTGGTTTTCAGCTCCAGTTCAAGACTTGCATTACTTACAGTACATTTTCTCAGCTGACACCAGGCCATGTACATCAGACTCAATCAAAAACAAATCACTATTTTCACAGGCTTGTAGTCTGCCTATATCATGTTTGAAGTAGATTTATGTGGAAGTTAAAAATTCTGAGAAGGCTACCAGCCAGTAGACACACACCTTTGGTATTACATTTAGTCACAACACCCAAAGAGAAAACAAATGTTACCTGTACTAAAAATATGAAGGGCTATTTTTTATGATAAAAGCAAATAAGGATATTTTCCTTCACCTTTGTGTTATACAATTTTTGGAATTGATTTTACCAAATTTGTGCACTTTGTTTTGTCATTTACACAAATTTAATTATCTTTTAGATTTATTGACGTTTCGTTCTTTCTTGCAGTCCATATTGTTTATCTCTTCTTCATAGTTATTTAATTCTACTTTTAAGTTGCCTTTTGCTGTCATTTATTATTCTCTTTTTCAACTTTGATCTGCTCTTCCAGGAAATTGGCTTCTGACACTTCATTACAGATTTGTATTTTTTCAGCTTTAGTTCACGACTAATATTGCTTTAGATTTTTTCTTCCACTTTAAACTTTACAGTTGCAGCCTAGAAAAAATACTAATGAATGTTGAAAGATAAAGTGAATACCTATTAACAAGAAGTATTTTATTATCCATAAAAATGTCGCCAAAATAATCTGCTTTCCACCACTTTTGCAGGAGTCCACGTGGTGAAAGATGTCTCTCCTATGGCTTTACAGCCCCTGCCCATTATTGATGGGCCCAAGAAGGAAACTGGAGCAGTCTGGATCTCAGGAGTCAGTAATGCAAAGGTGGATTGGGCTGTTCAGGTTGCAAAGGCACTACAACCTGCAACGGGGTAAGTAGTTGTGGGGAATGAGGTCAGATTGGTAATGTTGGGGTAGGAGTGATGGTGGTGGGATATTGCAAGTGGGGATGGAGTGTGAGGGTTGTGGGTTGGGAGAGTGGTACAGTAGTGTAATTGACAAGCAGGTTGCCCTTTTAAAGTTTAAGAATAGAGAGAGAGAGAGAGAGAGAGTACAAATACAGAAAAAGAAATCATAGTCAATGATGGCAACAACACAATTACACTGTGTTGTCACACATAAACACTTGTAGAGCCAATTAATGAACTAAACTCAGTAGGTATGGCATGTATGTACATACCATCCCCATCAATGTAAGGTGAACACAGGTCATTCATCCATGGAATTCAGATCAAAATCAAAATTACTTGTAAAATCAAATCATCTTTATTTTTTTCTTGTATTCAAGGAAGTTCTACAGCCTGAGGTTCCCAAGGAGTGAACTGACAGTGGATGGGTGCAAGGAATTGATTAACAAACTTCATCAGCACAGCATAGCGATTCGAGCCAATGGACGGTTGTACGTCACAATGGCCAACATTTGGGCTCCAGATGTTGTTCAGCTTCGCCACTTGGCCAAGAGCAAACTAAATTGTGAATTTGACTGGTAAGGCTTGCATTTTGATAGGCTGGGTACTCCGTTCATCTTCCCTCTCTTACTTTCTACTCCTCCATCCCTGTGCTTCTGCTATCTTTGTATAGTACATGTTCTACAGTAAATCCCTGACTCCTCCATTATATTCTGTTTCTATGCCTTTCTTCTCACTTATCCATATTTTGTGATGTCTCCTTGCATTAATGGATATTGGCTTCAGTGAAAGAAAGTTAATGCAGCTTACCTAAAATTTTTGCAGTCAAGTATGCAACCCTAATTTCTTTACTTTTTTGTTGCAGCATTGATGATGCAGTAATCTGGTCAGATTAAGGGAGTTCAAAGGATCCACTTATCCGTCCAGTATTTGAATGAAGCAAGGCGTTCTAATACATAGATATATTTTTTCATTCCATTAGGTGCTATGTAAACATGATTAGGGTAAACATCTAAGGTCATATTGTTATTTAGATATGTAATTCAACAGTTTTTATCATGATCAGAAAATGAGTATAGCAATAATACAAAACATCATCTCATTATAAAACAAATGTTTGACCTTTATGAACTACACAAATTTTATATTCTTACAAACTGAGAAGTCCACTGATTGTTGATATTTTAAATGTATTTACAGACTAGTATTCTTGATCAGGCATTTTGACTATAGACAGAGGGTATAAGATTTTTAAGAATATTTATAAGCTATGATTTTAAATGTATGAAAAACCTCTTGTGTGGTAATTATGAACTATACATTTTATATTTTTACAATCTGAAAAACACCACTAATTGCTGTTAGTTTAAAAGTATAGTACTAGTACTCATAATGAGATATTTTAAATATAGACAGAGGGTATCAGAGTTTTAAGAATAATCATAAGCTATGATTTTAGATCTATTAAATAGCTCTTGATGGGCAAAAAAACTGTAAAGAGCAAGAAATCCTTGCCAACTGGTAAGTGCGTACTGCATACACGTAAATACAGCCTGCATAGCAATTTATACTATATGGTCCTTTAAACTTTACTAGATGAGTTATAGACTGGAGTTCATTATGAGGACAGCCTACTTCTTTGATTTACTGGGCTGAACTATTCTCTCATTTCTAGTGTAAATGCACAAGAGGGCAGAAGAAAGTATACAAGTGCTGTTTTCAATTACAATAGAAATAGTATTGATAAACACACACACATACTCATATTCACAATCATATTCACACTCACACACACTCACTCTCACATTCACACTTCCTGTACACTCAACATATACACAAATAGGAACAACAGTTTTTATGATACTTTCTGTCATGTTTTTGTTATATAACTGACATAATAATAGAAATGTAATGCATAATAAGCTTTTCATGTATTTGAATATACATATATTCATATATATATATATATATATATATATATATATATATATATATATATATATATATATATATATATATATATATATATATATATATATATATATATATATATATATATATATATATATATATATATATATATATATATATATATATATATATATATATATATATATATATATTCCATATGTACATTCTTATATATATACTTAGATACATGTACATATATACACACATAGGTACACGTGCTTTTATGTATGAATATATTTATGTAAATGTATATATAATGTTATCCTTAGTTTTATGGTTGCTGAAGTAACATTTTGACAAGAAAATTATGAATTTACAAATTTCATCATTTCATTTGTCTAATCAGTAGAGCCAGTGTTGCCGTATCAGAAAATTATGAATTTACAAATTTCATTATTTCATTTGTCTAATCAGTAGAGCCAGTGTTGCAGTTATGAATTGTGGTATCAAATTTCGATGGGTGGGGGGGATGGGGAATGTATCATTTTGAGGCCTCCCCTTCTCCCACGCCTATAGTCATGCTGAAGCCACATGGGATGTATGTTAGGGCCTCATATTCTAAAATATCACAAAAGGATTCCACAGACATTGTTGCCAACTTACTCCAACACAGTACTTCAAATCCATGAACTGCCAACAGTACTACAAATGTTATAGCTACATAGCTTACTTCACTCTTGTATCATTTGAAAATCCCATTATTTTATAGAATGCACGTTCTGTTGACCTTATTTATGGAATAAAAATGTAAAAACTTCATGGAAAGCCTTACAAGTCAAGCTTTACAAGTCATGAACTATTACCAGTTACCCATATATTCATTTTGGGGGAAAGCAGGAAGTTCTTGGATTACATGAATGTATTCCATATATCTTGTGTGTTCCAATTTCCAAAAAATTATCATGTTTTTTCATGCAAGTTTGTTTTCTGTCTTTGTAAGATTATGTAATATTCCCTTAAAACCAATTTGGTGATACATAATATTATTGCTTTGTAGGCAAGACATTTGAATTTATATAAACACTTGTGATATATTGCCTTAAATTTAAGTTCTTATGAATACGGGATATAGTGCCTTAGAGGCAATCCATTCAAATTTATTTGAACACTTGTGATATATTACATTATAGGCAATCTGTTTGAATTTATATAAACACTTGTGATATGTTGCGTTAAATCAAATTATTTGAATCTATGTGATCTGTTGTGATTTACTGCTTTATTCACAATCTGTTTGTATCAAGGAAGCTTTTCAATAAATATAGTATTGAAGCTTGGTGTTCTTTTGTTATTATTATTGAAGCATGCCCTCGGTTTTTCATATTCACACTGCTTCACATTTACACATGAATACATATAAGTGTAAGTGGTCAGTAGTGATTCACTTGCAAATACATACATAGATATACTGTGGGCATATATATTAATATATAAATATATATATATTTATTTATATAAATATACATATACATATATTAATTAATATATAGACCTACACTAATGGCTGGGTCCAACAAAAGAATTGCAACAATGCCTGCAACCAAAGTATGTATCTGTGTGTACATATATATATATATTTGTGTGTGTATGTATATAATATATATATATATATATATATATAATATATATATATATATATATATATATATATATATATATATATA